CAAATATTGCGGCTACTACATTTATTAGTTGTATAGTTTATATTGATATGTAATATATTGACAAAGATTGTGGTTATTATTTTTATTAGTTGCATGGTTTAAATTTGGTATATAATATATTAGCAAAACAAAATCATTCAAAATTAAAAATGAAACAAACAATTATTCATAACTTACGGGTCAATATTAATTAATTAGGACATCAATAAAATAGTTAATTATTTATAATTTAATAAATTACTCAACCACTTAATTTTTTTTATTTAGATGGTTTATACAAAATAAATTCATTTTTTATTCATGAAACAATATAATTTTTATAGTGATATTTATTATTCACATAAATTTTAAATATATGATAAAATTTTACCGAAATAATTATTTTATGGAAATCACATTATAGTCAAATCAAATTTCTGAATAAATTTTTAAAATGATACTTATTTTTATAATGTAATTTATTATCAGTTTTATGCAACTCATGAGTTGTGTACTAATTTTAAATAAACATTTTTATGCAAATTTTGCACAATTTAAATCTTATATAATATTTTCAATAAATTAGTTAGGTAAATTATTTTACATGTTGATTCTATATTTTTAGTTTATACATATATATTTCTGAAGAAAAACTATACCAAATACAAGACCATCCACATGATATATAACAGTATTTTGACAACTTTTATGATCCGTCATTCAGTTTTAGATAAACAGTAGATTGACTTTCATTTGATAAAACAGTATTAAATTTTAGTTTCTATTATTGGTTACGTAGCTTAGCTGTCTCTTAGAGAGAGAAAAAAACAAAAAGATTAAAATATTGATGGAAAGCGACCTGATATATTTGTACGTGGTTACGTGTAGGGCACGACACGAGGGAGGAATTTTTGAGGGAAAAAAAAAAAAAAAAAAGATTTAGAGTGTCTACTTTCAAGCAGTGATTAACGGATTTGTAGTTTTCAAAAGTATATTGAATCTCTTAAAAGTCTTTTTTGCCCCTCAATCAAAAATCCTTTTTCTCTCCTCCTCTCTTTTTCTCTCTTGATTTTAGTTTCCCAACGTTCGAAAAAATTTCGAAAAAATGTCGGTGCCACCAGTGGCAAAACCAGTCGGTCATCTCGGGGAGGGCCCAATTTGCCGCGACGCACCACCCCCACTCCGACCATCCCGCGGCGCACTACCCCCACTCCGGCATCGGAAGGACGCTCAAAGGGATTTTGTGGACGCTCTCAAAAATTTTCGCAGGATATAAAAGAATACTCTAGAGATTTTTCTAAAAATCAAACTAAGTCCGGAATTAAACTGGTATACATAAATTGAATTGTTTTAACTCAAAAAATACTCGAATTTATACTAATAAAAATCTCGGACTCAATTATAATAATAATCAAGAATTATACCTCTTTTCGATAAACAAATATAAAATAAATGATAAATGTAATATTGTTATTTTAAATATTATGCTATCTAATTTTTGTGAAATTATTTCTTTTAGAATTTTACATTATTATTGTGAAAAAATTCAAATTACTACGTATATTTACTTTATTATGAACAAATATAAAATAATATCATATTAATATTTTAAACATCATTTTATACAATATTCATGAAAGTAAAAAAAAAATATAGTCTTTTTTAAACTTAATTTTCAATTTAAAAGAATATTTTTTTTAATATTTAAAAACTAAAGAATACAAAAAGAAAAAGAAAAAGAAGAAGATAAATTCAGTTTACAAAGTAAACAAATTTAAAGGACCAAAATGTAAAAAAGTAAAAAAGAAAAAAAAAAAGAAGGAAGGCATATTGCGTTCCGACGCAAATATGCGTCGAATTGAGGAGAGAGAGAGAGAGATCATATCGTATTTTGCGATCCGCTTTTGGCATCGGTTGGAGCCACCCCTCCTGGTACTGCAAACTTTTCTTCTTGCATTATGGTTGGAGAAGGTCTTACACATTAAATGCCAACCTTAATATCAAAATATTATGTTAAAGTACTATTATTCTTACGACAAACATGAGCCTTTTGAATAGTGATTTTGTGCAATTTCAGTTGATTTTCTTTCTTTTTGGAAAAAAAAAAGGAAAAAAAATACATGCTAATATGTTTTTCCCTCTCCTCTCACGACTCTTTTCCCTGCCCTCACTTTTGGCCTTGGGGCCGACGTTGGAGCTTTGTCCGGTTACCGACTAAAGTCTGGCAATGATGTTGTTGCTCGATCTCTCCCCACCTTTTCAATGTCTTGTTTGGTCAAATCGGGATCGGGATTCTTCCTCGTGTCAGATTTGATTATTCATCCGAGTTTGGCTAGGCGTTTTCAAGTTTGAGGGCCTTAATCGATTCTTTTTCAAGTTCATTATCCAAATGATTGTCACCCAACAAGGCACTGGACATACAAATGAATTGGGGGGGCACTTGTCAACACCCCTTGAATACAAAGTAAAGTCGAGCTCGATTGTGTAGTTTGCAAGCTTTAGTGCTCGATTAGACGTTCAAATGTACGTACCGTTAGGTAAATACTCATACCTTGAGCAAAATTTATCCAAATTCAAACATTACTCTCATCTAACTATTTTTTTTTATGGTTTACTAAAGTTCAAGTCGCATTCGAGCAAAATATGACTCAATCAAACTTGACCACATCTTGAGCGTGGTTTTAAGTTGAGTAAAATGTCTGGCTCGTCACGCTCGAGCAGCAGTAAAAAAATGAGTCCAACTTGTTACATCCTCATTATTGACATGTGGAAGTGGAAGTCTAAGTTCCCCATATCGTTAATGAACTTAATCACATTTCTTAATCCTTCCAACTATTTTATACGATAGGCGAATGTATGAAAGAACTATTGAAAGAAGAAATACCTAATGACTGGCTAGAAACTCACTTGGCTCAACAAATAATCATCTGATTGTTTCTCTATACTCTATTGAGTATTGAGCGATTGAAGTAGAAGATTTGAACTTAAGAGCGTCTCCAACTGTACGGTAACACAAACACAAATAGAAATTGAAAATCGACTTCAATCAATGTCGAAACAAAAAACACAAAATGTGACATCGACCATTTTCCGTGTTCGATAAATTGCATGCATGATCACATATGTTTTAGCAAATATCAGTTTGCCAATTTGCTTCTCAGATACACTATTGTAAAATACATAACATATGATCATGGCCACACACTTCATGCAATTAAAACATATTAACATATTTTCTTCCCCCACATTACCCTTCAACAACTTCATGATCAATAAAACTGCCGCGAACTATGTGGTTTTCCTATTCGTGGGCTTATTGTTATCAGTCGAGATTGAGAGGCTGTTGATAATAGGCTGCACAATTATTATTTCTCAAATAATCCCTTGTACGATAAGACCATGTTTCGTAGAAGATACTCAATGTCTTGCTCGTTGTTTCTTGAAAAAATGCTGACACAACCAAAGAACATGGTCCCGACTTCCAACAAGCATATTGTGTCAGGAGACCTGGGTTATCTCTAATACAAAAATTGCTATTATCTTTCGTATGTCGGCATATGATGTTTCAACAGATGCTACAAAACAAAGTATATTAAAATTGCGGAATCTACTGAATCTGAAAGCATGAGAATGTTTTGTTGTGCGTTACTTGAGGTATTTAGTCAGCATAAACTAAGGAGGCTTACATTTAATTATATTTCTAGAATTTTTAATATTGGTTACAAACGTGGTTTTTCAGCAAATATTCTATGGAGTCATCGGATAATTTTCTTATGGAGTCATCCATCACTATTGTGCTAACACCTATCCAAAGCGTATTTATTGCAGGACATGTGTCAACACACTATTTATGAATAAGTGTGAATGACTTCATAAATCGTGTCATTCGATAGCCCCATAGCAAAACTGAGTTTTTCAGGATGTTAGCTAGTATAAATTACATGCATTGGAGGTGAAAAAATCGTCCTACAGTGTGCGTCGGGCAATATGTAAGCCGTAGTGAAAAGCCTACAATTATTCATGAAGTTGTGCACATTATGATTTGTGGATATGTCATGTTTGTTTTGGTTTCCCCGACTCTAACAACAATATCAGTTGTATACACCATGAGTTCTTATTTTGATGATAGCATATATCCAAATGGTATACTATTGTGCAAAAGATTCTTGAACGTGGTCTGAAGAAAAAAACATACAAAATAACGTACAGTACTGAAAAAAAAAAAAAAAAATGCCACATGATATAGTAACTACATACATAACATTTCTTGACACGATTGTTGAGGATGAAACTAACCGACAATTGCATTTGAGTGGCGTGAAATGATTATATTCGAGCTTATACTATTCGAGCTTGAAATTTTACTAAGTCAAGCTAAGTTCAATAAACCAAACTCGAACACGAATTAGCCAACTACAAAAACTTACATAAATTATCTTAATACAAGCCTAACAAGCTGAAGTTTTAAGAAGACAAGCTAACAATTGTTTAACAACCAATATCAATTCTTTTGTGATTTTTTTTAGGACAGTACAATACGTTCTATGGAACCCTATATATTTCATTTCATACCAAAATGGAGCTGTGTTTTCTTTTAATTTTTTAAATGAAGGCCTTTTTTCGTCGTTCCCTCGAAGAAACGAATAAAAAAGTTCATCATACTATAGTCGAGACAACTGACACCAAATCAAATTCACCCCCAAACCATAACAACACAGTACAGGCTTACATTTGACTTTCCCCATGGGAAGGAACACGAAAAAAGGATAAAAACAAAATGAAATAAAAACACAACCTTGATCCACATAAAGGACAATGGTCTTTCTATTTGTCGAGGGTGTTGTTAACCATCGATATTTTAGTCTTGAGCGACCGAAAAATATATCATATATAGATGGTCAAGGGTCCCTCCCATCTCATTCACCAATATAATAATATCATGTCCGGAACAAACAGAACTTAAAAACATGGGGATAACACTCATGGCAAGCAAAGGAAAAGAGATAAAGAACACACAGGATTTAGGATTTAGGACCAATGTCTTTGAGACCACAGATCTGTTCCTCTCCCATAGCTGACATAACACTCACAACAAGGTCTTTTCCCTCCGCAAATCCATCCTTAATCTGTACATTTCATCGAACGAAGGATATTTGTCAGCACTCAGCAACAATGTTATTCATTAATGTAGTGTCATTTAATAAATCACGGTTTTTTTACTCAAAATAGAATCTTTTTATTGACAACCACATAAAGTAGCTTATAGTGTATTTTGTTTAGCTTATAAACTTTCTATATATAAATAAGTTTAATTTGGTAGGACGAGTTTTTTTTTTTCTTAAAGCTCGAGTTTATCTCTTATGAGTAACTTTTCACATAAGCCTGTTGAAATTTTTATTTCAGCTTGACTAATGTTACCAAACACTTCTATTATCAGCTAACTTTTCAGCAATGAGCAATAAGTTATTCTTTATAAGCTCGAAGTTCACTTATAAAATATTTATTTAGCTTATCATCTAGTTTTACGAAACATAGCCTATAATATTTTTAAAACATTATCTTAAAGGCACTAAAAAGAAGTTAATAAAATCATTGCCAATTAGATGTTGAAGTATATGTCTAACCTGGGCAAGCAGATTGTCATCAGTTGGAAGCCTGAGATCATCCTTAGTGTTACCATTCTCAGTCAGCAAGCTCACCTATAGCAATTATTTATGTAAACATTACTGAAAACGGGCCCAATGAAATTTCAAACAATTGAAGTAGAAAGTAGATCCACATACAAATCCATCCTCGGAAATGTCGATGAGCTGGTAGTCAGTGCGATTGACATGTGGAACCTGAATTTCAGTAAATCCTACTTTAGGATTTTGTTACAATAGTATCAAATATAAACATCAATAAGCTTGATACATAAAAAAGGAAAAGGGCAGAATAGATGTACATCACAGTTATGGGAAGAGGGAACAATATCTTCAAGCTTCTTGGCTGTGAAGATGTCTATCGCCACAAAGTGACACTTAGCATGCCCGTGCTTTCCGGTTTTGGAAGTCGAAACCTCAACAACCTAAATCAAGGAGAACGAAATCAAATTCATCTCCTAATCACGATATTAACAGAACTGCATAGAACATTAACAATCTGAAGTCAATCTGAATTCAATCAGAAAATGAAAGCTAATACAAAAAACGATTTCGAACAGAAATGTAAGATATGGGTTCTAATGAAAATCTGTACTTGAGGTGAAATACATGTATAGAGAACCTGAATTAACAAGAAGTTATCTATTCCACAAACACCATGAGTCACAAGACAAGAGCAGTATAGATGATAAACCCTTGAAAGAGCAAAAGTCTTATAAGAAACAACCATTTATCCTCCTGAGATTCAAATCAAAAAACCACCAAAAACAGCGTCAACCTAAAATCACATCCACACACGATCGGAACCAATACCAATATCACTCAAATCATCACGATTCACGCAGAAAACAGCAACCGCCAACGAACACGCGGAAAGAAATGGAACTGAAATCTAACTCTACAACCTCTACACTCACAATTCCACCGGCAGAATTAAAATAAACGACGAACGGGCCGAAATTCAAGCAGTTCATTCACAATTTCAGAAGCGAACACAAAAAAAAAAGTAGATAAATAAAATTAAGGAAGATAACAGACCTTGCAGGGGCGGCCTTTGATAACAATGTAACCGTTCTTACGAATGGTCCCAGCCTGTTGAGGGTAAGTCTTGGATGCGCCGGCGTCGGCCTTCGACTCGAAGTGATGCTCCTCGTCCGACATGCTCGGCGGCGATTAAACGGACGGATTTGATCTTCTTTTTTTTTTCCGATGAGAGGGAGAGGAGCCAAAGGTGGGGGCGAGCTGAATGGCGATGCGCGATAGCTTATATATTAGGGCTCGATTCGTTTTTATCATTTTCATAGACGCGGGGTGGGGTCACATGCCGGGAATGAATTTGGACCGTAGGTTTGGACGGTGACGCACGTGCACGGTGGAGATTTGATTGAGATTTTGCGTCGAAACGAAGCAGCGGTGTTTAAAGATAATAATAAATAAATCTATGTTTTTTTGGGCTTATCCATAACATTTATTAATTTATTTATTTATTTATTTATTTTTCCTTAGTGAGAGGAGAATTTGGGTACGGATGCCTATGGGGGTGATTGTTTATGATTTGAATAGTAAAAAATCTAGATTTTTTTAATTATGGTTAAGTTTAAGAAAAAATGGTATGGTTAGTTGTTAGTGGATATATTAAAATAGTATTTAAAATGAAATAGTTAAAGTTGATTTGATGTAAAAGTAAGAGAAAATGATTGGAAGTGATAGTTAGTTAAAATTAGTTAAAATTATGTGAGTAGATGAATAGTGAATTAAAGTTGATGTGATATGTAATAATGATTTGTTGATATTATTTAATTATATAATAATATTGAAGATAGTGTGGTTGAGTTAAAGTTGAGTTAAATTTGAATTTAAGTAAAATAAATTACTGTACAACTTATAAACAATCACCCCCATATGGGTGGAGCATCACTAGAGGTGGCCACGATTCGAACCGGCCTGAATTATTGACCACAGGCATTAAACTGATCTGCATTTTGATTTGAACCGGTGCAGCTTCATAAATTAACAAAAAATTGAATAAATGCATTTTACAAATTTACGAAATTCGGTTTTTTTAAAAAAAAAAAAAAAAAATGTTTTTTTAGTCAGTTACAGGCCGGGTCGGGCACGGAACCAGAACCGTTAAAATTGACCATTACATCGATTTGACTATTAAGATCTCACGGTCAGAATTTTTTTAGCTAGTTCTAGGCTAGATCGGTTTGGACCGAAACCGTTAACATCCAATAGTCATATTTTTTAAATGAATGGCTTTGAATTGTCTAAGTTGTAGGTTCAGAATTTAAAAAATAAAATAAAATAACTTTTTTTTTTTCTATAAATACGTTCCTCCATTTAATTTTTTTCACAAATTCATCATCTTCTTTGATATGGGATATTATAGTAAACCGGCCGAATAAGCCAGTCTAACGAACGGATCAAGCAAACCAGCCAAATCGTTCTGGTCGAGCAAATACAGTAAGGACGGTCATGGTCGAACATTACGAGAACAAGAGTCTCTAGACATGAAGATACCTTGAAGAGGGATTCCAGTGCAGGGAGAACATGTCGATATATCCCAGACCCGTGAAGGGTCTGGTCGAAGATCGACCTGTCGTACAACTGGTCGTTCGATCGACCACTTCCCAGACCTGGAGTAATCAACGGACTGACATAGATTTGGTCGAACACTATAGATATCAAGGAGATCTCAGAGGAATCAAACCCCCATATGCGGAAGACACGTGGCATGACCTGAGTGGCCCACACTGAATAACCTTTTTTGACGCACCTCCAGTGTGTGTTGTACTACTGGGCAGGTCGGGCAGCCAGCTCAGCTAATCCGGGCAACTTCTAAATATAGGGGTGAGCTTTACGATTTTGAGCACGATTTACATTATACTCTTTGAGACCTGAGTTTTGGAGTGATATTGATTTAAGTATCGGAGGCTCTTCACCGGAACATATGAAGGCATATGAAGGCCCAAACATATGAAGGCATTTAGTTCATTGTATTCTTTTAATTATTTTCCGGTCGGGTAATTTGTTCCGATCTTTGATGTAATGTGTAGGGCGTTAGCTTTGCCAAACCAACTTCAGAGTTTGGAAAATATTTTTTTTTTTTTGCTTGACTTTTTATGTTTATGTCAAGATCCATGTATGACTCGCGCATGAATGTATGTATGAAGATATGATGAGTTCGTGCGGTAAATAATTAAGGCACGATAAAAGATGTTACCTCGATATTTTGTTGAGTCTAAGTTTCTTTTTTGAGTTTGATGTCATATTCTGGAAAGCAGACCCGGCCCCAGCCTTTCTTTGGCCCTGGGCCGAATGTAAGAATAATGCCCCTCCTTTTTTTCAATACAATTAAATTTTTTAGATTTCAACCATTACTTTGTTTATACCATTCATTGAGTAACTTTGGATGAATTGATTAAAAAAAATGCCCCTCATTTTTGTTTTTTCAATGCGACAAGCTAATAAGCTAAATAAATAAGTTAAAAGCAAATTTATATGAACCTAAATCATAAGTAAGTACGAACACCATTATTTACAATATTATATAATTATGTGTAAGTTGAATATTACGTTTATATAAATCATTATAATTTTGAGGAGAAAATTAACTCTCCTTCATTTTAATGTAATTTTATTTAATAACAATTCATATTATTTTACACTTTGTTACTTAATTAAATAATATTTTATTCAATGATTTGCGATTTTCTTATAATAAACAGTGATTATAATTAGTACATAAACTATAAAGATACCCACAAAAAAAAAAATATCTAACAGGAATAGAATAATGATGGGTTGGTAGGTTCTCATCTAAAATTTCATAAAGTTTTGTCCATTTTAATTATTGTGCATTTATTTTTTTATATATTTTTATTTTTGTATTTTTTTTGTAATCAATGTTTGTGGAAAACCGATCTAAGAATTAATTTTGTTGCCTTGGGTTCTTTGTGTATCAAACTTTAAAAGCGGAATAAAAACTTTGGCGTCGTCTTTGTAGCATTTAGTAAATTAAAAAGGCCCTGTAGGTTATTTGCTAAAATGGAGGATCATATCTAAATTAGGCCCATCATATTGGGCCGGATGGATCACAATCATCTCCATCTCAAAAGCATTATTTGTATTACTAAATGGGCAAAACAGAGCCCCAAAAATTGTGCCCCTTCAAAATGGGCCCTGGCCTGGGCCCTGGGCCGTCGCCCAGGTCGCCCTGGGCCAGGGCCGGCCCTGCTGAAAAGTCGGCGTTATTCGTGTCCGACCTGCAAGTTGATAGATTCTTGCAAATCTCACCACCTTTTTTGGTGTGGCCGAGCTAAAAAGGGTACCGAACTTCGTCACGGTTCGATTAAAGAACGGCCCTACCGAGTTTAGGTTACTCGGCTACAAATTGGGCCCACTAAATCATTTTTTGTGGATTTAGTGAATAGACGAGATTCAACCTCACCAAATCAATCGTGGGACTTGGATGTTTACGAGGCATTCGCTGAGCCGAGTTTTCTTTTTTTCGCTACTCGGTTCTTTTTCGTTACTCGAATTCTTTTTTTTTTTTTT